AGCTGTCCCAATGGGTCAGAAAGTCTGATAAGAAAAGATTATGCACTCGGGTGGGTTTTAGTAAAAGACATTGAATGTTGATAAGCTTATCATAGCTTTTGTTTTCTGCTCACTTATGAAATTTCAAATGTGTGTATTTTTTAGGAAATACAATGGCTCCTGAAAGTAGGAGAGTACTTACTCGTCTTGCCCATTTGGGTCTTACGCATCTTGCCACTTACCCCTTTTTTCTCCTTTTTTTCGGACTGACTGACCAGGATCTCGTTGTAGGTTTCTTGGTACCCCCAGCATCATTGATCATTAAGATAAACAGTGGCAAATTCCCCAAAGCTCTAGGTAATACTTAATACTCAGAGTATGGTTTTTGGACCCGTAGTATCCCCGTCACCTGGGAGCTTGTTAGAAATGCAGAATCTCAGGTCCCACCCGAGACCAGCTGAATCAGAATCCACCTTGTAAGTAGATCTCTGGGTGAATCACATACATTGTAAAGTGCTCCAAGGAGTCCTCTGGAAGGAGCTTCCAGGGACCTCTGAAGCCATAAGACACTTGCTAAAAGCACCCTAGCTAATTGTGCCCTCCAAAGCAGAGACGTCCTCTCCCTTTCTTTCATAGACACCCTCTAGCCCCCTGTGCTGAGCGAGGGCTACCTTTGGAGACAGCAGATGCGAAATGCCAACTAAGCGTGTCCTCAGCTAGTTTACCCCACTTTCTCAAAGACCTGGAGTGAATCCTGAAGATCACTGGTATTCTCCTGGATCTAAAGAACTTTCATTCTCAAGCATTGGCATTTCTACCTTTTAAGTACAACCCTGTTTGGATGGATGGGCCCTCAGAAATTTTTATGTGATCATAAGTTGCCCAAAGGCACCTTCATGCACAGCAAACCCCTGGAAATGCCAACACCATTGTTCAGGGTTAGCATAAAGATTTTTTTCCAGTCAATTGAAAAAAATTTACTGAACAGAATTAATGATTATGACTATTAAAGTAATTTAAGTGAATCAGATAGGATTTTTTGGCCTGTATTCTTTTCTTTATAAGAGTGTACACATACAGTAAAACCAAGAACGCCAGGATCCTTACCAGTCTGTCTGTATTCCTGTGTTTGGCATGGCTGCTTCTTTTTTTTAAAAGATTTTATTTATTCATTTGAGACACAGAGACACAGAGATACAGAGAGAGAGAGCATGAGCAGGGAGAGAGGGAGAAGCAGGCTCCCCACTGAGCAGGGAGCCCAATGCGGGGCTCGATCCTGGGATCATGACCTGAGCTGAAGGCAGACGCTTAACCATCTGAGCCACCCAGGTGCCCCTGGCATGTCTTCTTGACTGTTAAAAAATTTGGATCCAGGAGCACCTGGGTGGCTCAGTCAGTTAAGCATCTGACTCTTGATCTCAGCTCAGGTCTTGATCTCAGGGTTGTGAGTTCAAGCCCCACGTTGGGCTCCACGCTGGGTGTGGAGCCTAGTTTAAAAAAAAAAAAAAATGTGGATCCAGAAGTTAAACGTCAACTTAACCTGCCATAGATGGGACTAGAGACAGAGGTGGGAATGCTGGGTTATTACTTGTCTGTATGGTATTCTTTGCAATCCCAGGCAAATTATAGTTCTAGTGCTTTTTCTGTTCTCTGTGCTTTTCTCAATTGTACATACTTTAAATGTAGACATTAACGTTGCACATTGAATTTTTTAAAGGGTGTATTACTCAGTAGAAGACATTGAAGCCTCCAGCTGTAGGAACAGCCCTGGCAGTTGGAAGGGAGTCTTCCGGGTACCTGGTGGTGAGGTTGTAGTCTGTGATCTGATGGCCTGGGTTTGAATTCTGGCTCTGACCCCTAGGGGACTCTATGCAACTTACGCGGCCTCGCTAGGTCTTATCTGTAATAGGGGGATAATACCTACCCCATAGGAATGTAATGAGGACTAACGGAATTAGTATATGTAAGGCTGCCTAACTCCGTGCCTAGCAGATGGTAACATAACCAATATTAACTATCATTATTAAATCTAAAGTATGACCAGATTGATTTGTTGAATGGCACGCTGGCTGTGAGTCTGAGAATCAAGTGAGGAGGCTAATAGAGTTGAGTTTCTTACTCCTCTTCCTGCTTGTTGTATACTGATTAACAGTGAGCTGGTTCAAAAGCAGCACAGCCGAAGGGAGAGGGAGAAGCAGGGGCTGGAGGCCGTCAACCCTTGAATAACTGAACTGCTGTGCTTTAAAACGAAAAGCCAAGATAAGAGGACCTAACTCACGAATCCACCTAAGGCTCTACAGCTTGCAGCCCACGGCCACATTCACTTTCTCATTTCCTCTCCGTAGTTTCTCTGGACATAGAACAGGTGTCATGGTTCCCACTTTACAGAGAGGGATGCTGAGGCTTGGCAGAGGTCCCCAACTAGAGCCCTGACTTCTGGATGCGGGGTCCAGTGCCTTTTCCACACAGCCTCTCAGTGAGTCTGCAGACCCTGCACTATGATGCCTTGGAAGTCGGGAAGGCCAGAGAGAACTGCTTCTGTTCTTTCGTCCTCCTGGAAGGGTCAGGAGTGAGCAGTTCTGGAAGTCGCATCCCAGGGAAGGGCCTCACATGTGCTGATGCTGTAGACCTGAAACTATGTGCTTTGGGTTCACACCAAAGGGAAGGTGGGGAGCTAGGCAGAGGAGAGAGGGGAAGAGAAGTAATGGTTTCGTACTTGGCTTGATGGAACCTCTTCTACAGACCACCCTAAGCCAAGGAGAGGAAGGGTGTTGAGGGGTACCTATGGTTGGGGCCCGTGTGAATTACTCAAGTGTATCATGAAAAAGAATAATCAGTGGTACATGTCTTTAGGACAAGATGGCAGTTGTGTAGATGTGTGCCTCGACTGCACTCTCTTTACCCATGGCTGCATGGCGAATTGACCACAGTCTTTCCCACTGAGCCTTGGAATCCTCAACCCAGGGCTCTAGGCAGCAGCTACCACTCACATCTGTTAAGTGAGAGGGAACCCACTGGCCATTCCTCTTTTAAGGGGTATCCCTTCAGTGCAGTGAGGAGTCACATTTATTGTTGAATTAATGCATCCTCTGTTGGCATCTAGGTGATTCTGGGGTTTTCGGTAGGGGCAACAATATTTCTGTTTTTTTTTTTTAAAGATTTTTATTTATTTATTGAGAGAGAGAGAACGGTAGAGAGAGAGAGCATGAGAGGGAGGAAGGTCAGAGGGAGAAGCAGACTCCCTGCTGAGCAGGGAGCCCGATGCGGGACTCGATCCTGGGACTCCAGGATAATGACCTGAGCCGAAGGCAGTCGCTTAACCAACTGAGCCACCCACGCGCCCCAATATTTCTGTTTTATCAGCAATTTAAATATCATCACTCGTTTGACACTTTCACCTTGCTGTGTCACCAAGCAGCTCTTCAAATAAAAAATGGAACATCAGAATACTCGCCATCTGTGTTCATTGTCGCCATCTTTTCTCTCTCTCTCTCGAGACAAACGTTATCTTGTGCTCATTCCACTGAGATGTGAGAGGGTGACAGCAGGAGGAGCAAGGGGCTTCTCGCTTCCCCCAAGCATACACGAGATTGCTCCACACTGTCCAGGCTAGCAGAGATGTGCTCCTCCCACCCCACCCCTCCGAGTCAACAGTGGCCCTTTGAGACAGCTGCGGTCCTCTGGGCTCGAAGGGGAAAGTGTGTGTCTATAGCTGGTCATGGCCGGCTTGCCAGGCCCCATGTAGAATATGACCAAGGGCCTGGCAGATGATCTTGTCCGGAGCGTGTTCATAGGGCTCTGGGAGACTGCAGAAGTTGAGGTTGGAGAACTTCAAGGGAAAAGCATTATTTCGATTGGGACCTAGGGTTTCCTCATGTCAGCATTTGGGCGGGGGATGGGAAGAAGGGGAGGGGTCGCAGGGTACTAGGGAGGCAATGCAAAGCAAACAGAATGGTCCATCTTACTGTAGGGGCTTCATGCAGTTAGCTTGGGTCCCAGGGCCATTCAGTGAAGTTGCCTGAAAATGACCAGTCGAGAGGGCCACCATGTGAGAATGTCAGGGCCACGTGCAGACTAAATCGGATGGAGGAGCTGGGGGACGGAAGCACGGTAATCGTGGGCAGGGCCCAGGGGTAGCCAAGGCCACGGCCCCCTGCCAGCACCAAGGCTTTTTGTTCATATTGATCAGGCCCAGCAAATGGCACTTCGTTTCCCAGCAAAGACCAATCAGTGCTTTAAGAAAATGCTTCCTGGGTATTTATTGTGAATTTCCCCGAAGATAATTATAGAGCCTTTGGAAAATTTTACAAAAAGACAAAAAGGAAAAAATTTACCCATAACCACGCTGCCTGAAACAATACTCTTAAAATTTGGATGTATCTCATTCGAAGTCTCTTTTGCTATGGGGTTGTGTATAAATTTTAAGAAAATCTGTATCATAATGAAAATGCAGTTTTTACCATGCTCTGAGCATGTTTTTGTATCAAATTACTCAAAATACTATTTTAAATAGGTATATAAGATCCCATCTTACAGATGCACTGTAATTTAACCAAAAAATTAAACATTTCAGTGGTTTTCACATTTTTACGTGTGTGTTATATGTTTTTTGGGAAGAAAATATAGAGGGGGATAGATTTTTGAGCGAACAGTCAGTACTGCTCATCGTACTACAGCTTACATCCCAGATGTGTGTGTGTGTGTGTGTGTGCACGCGCATACGTACTATATTATTCTACGTTGGTGGTGTGTGGTGCCATGTTTTGATACTTAAAAGTAGAGAGTCTCCAGGCTCCCTAATAAAACCTGGCCCTTTGGGCACCAATCCATTGAAGGATTGACATTTCCCATCTAACATGTTCATAAAAATAGTTGTAGGGATGGTTGACTCCAGTGGGAAATCCACAGCTGCTGTGCTAAGTCCTGTTAAATGCTGTTGAATTTCGATCCTATGTCTTTGGTTATCTTGCTGCCCACGGGCCATTTGGCACTCATGGCCGGTTCTCTTCTCTCTCCTCCAGTTGCTGGGGCTTCCGGATGCGGACGATGATGCGTTTGAAGAGTACAGTGCAGATGTGGAGGAGGAGGAGCCCGAAGCAGACCACCCCCAAATGGGGGTCAGTCAGCAGTAACCTTCCGAGGGCTCCCGCCTGAGAAGGAGAGTGAACCCCCTGGTACCCGAGGTGGGGTCGCGTGCTCCTGGGTTAGCATTTTTGCATTAGCACTTCGAAACAGGACGTCTGACTCCCAGCATCTAAATTAAAACTAGGTACCTTTTTATTGACCGCAAAATATCTGGGATGAGCTTTGCTCAGAAGTGACCTGAATTTTACTCCCGTTTCAGTGGGTTTCTATGGGGTTTTCTCAGTAGCCTTTGCCATTTTGAATTTAGAGTCCATTTTGTGGCTGACTGTTCTCTCTTGAGTTTGTGTTGGAGAACTAACATTAGCGGACTCGAATGTAGAGAACTCTGAATGTATTAAGGATATGTTTTGAGTCCTCAAAGGTGACATTATTGAGGGAAAGCATGACAGAGAAGAAATGCAGTCTGCACTTTTTATGTACTTTTTAAATGTCCATGAGTGAAGGAATTTGCTTATAAAGCATGAGTTTTAATATCTAGTCATTAAACTGCACAAGTGCAAATACAAGGGCAGAAAAAGATAATCACTTAGCTTTGGACGAAGAGGGAGGGGAAGGGAGGCAGAGAAGCCTTTGTTGAAGTGTTCTGGCATTACTAAGTTACCTGGATAGATAGCAGCTGGTTCATGGTTAGTATAAACATTACTTGCATGTTCAATTATTTTAAAACATGCTAATTCCAAAGCCACTTTTGAAATCTAATAGTGGAAAATATCAATGGGGTGACAAATGATTGATGTCTCTAAAATCTCTATAAACTGTCCCACATGTGAAATGAAACATTTACATTCTCTCTTTATAACCAGATGGCAACTTGTTAAATCATGAAAACATTCAGAATCCAAGTGCCACTTAAACTTTGAAGCCATAGATAAATTTAATGGGGGAAATAAACCAGGATAAAATTTTTTTAAACCTATGAGGGAATCCTTTTTTAATTTCTTAATTTGTCTTTTATTCCTTAAAAAAAAAGGTCAAGAAAAGGATCCCACTGTATAATTTATTTAAAAAACTGTAATCAAGTCCTTGGAGGGACCTAACTGTAGTGAATTTTTAAAGCGATATGAAAGTGGGAATCTTTCAGTCGTGGGTTAGCTTGATTCAAATGGGAAGTTTCAATGATCAAAATACTAAGACAACTCACAGAAACAGCTACTTAATAATTGAAAACACTGCTGTCATTACTTAGCCAACAAATACTTACAGGGGAAGTCCTTTGTAATGCCAACGTGGAATTATTTAAAGTATTCATTTTCTTGGACCCTTCTGGATCTCTCAAAGCGGAATGCCTCTTTCACAACCCTGACTAAACATAGCATCTGGGGTGGGAATGTTTTTAACATGCATACACATGCCTGTTAGGTTGTCATAGTTTGGGACTTTAAAAAAAAAAAAACAAAACAAAACCAGCAGCAGCAAGCACAGAGCTTCTGGGAGTCTTGTATATCTTCCAGGCATGTCAGTATTAACCTGATGATCTCTCCATTTTCTGCTTGATTGATTGGTGCCATGGAGAGTGCGGCTACTTGTGGTAGAACAGGGTACTGCAGTTTTAAGTCATGGGGGTGGGGGAACAGTACAGTGGTTTCCATCCATGCTTCAGTACCCACATTTTTTCTTTTCTTGGCAAAGCATATTGAAGGTTAATTTCAAGTGAAATGAATTTCCTTCCGAGTAGCGTATTCCCACTGCAAACCTTGATGTTTCATCCAGCGGGGGAGCATATTCTGTGCTTTGCTCCCTTGCCTGTGTCCCCATTGGCTCCGTACCTGAGCGCAGGTAGTTGTGAGCTGCGTTCTGTAGATAGCGCTCGGGTTTGGTAACCTCTGTTTTAACACAATAGGCTGAAAGAATAACTTCTGCCACTGGGATGAAGAAGCTTGACTAGCTTGCTCCATTTGAAGGTAAACTGGAATTTTATACATAGAGGCTTAAAAGCTCAATTTACATATGTTTGCAAGTGGAACAGACATTAATATAAAATGTATTTTATGAAAAAGCGTTTAGGCTTTGACCAAATGCATTTTGGTATTATTATGTTAATGTTCTATTTATAAAAATTGAACTGAGATCAACTCAGCCATTCAGTGGGCTGAGGAGAAATCTCGTCTTTGTTCCGCCCCAGGGGTTGAGGATAACAGTACTGTGTGTTGCTTATTTTCATGGCAAAACCCCAAAAGGCATTAGCAAATCCAACCGTTTCCTCCAAAACTTCCTTGTTTTCTGATGGTGCACCGCCCCGGCCGCCCTTGGTGCCGCACATGCCCGTTCCCTCCCACCGGCCGTGGGTTCGCGGTTCGGCTTGTGTGCGGCATTAAAGCTCGCCTGGCGCAGAGCTCCCCACCCCCATGGGCAGTGAGGCGGGCAGCCGGCAGCCAACGCTGTTTGGGAAGAGGTTCCGTGGTTTGACAAATTCCTGACTTTCACAAACATAAACACTTAGAGGCAGTGTGGTGCGCTGGGAAGAGCATGGACCCGGGAGTTGGGAGAGAGACTCGGGTTCTAGCCCTGGCTCTACCAGGGACTGCGTGACCTTGGGCAAGTCCCCCAACTCCCCTGAAACAAGGGCTGTTTGCCCTTCCTGCTTTCACCACTGTCGTTCCATAACTGCCTTATGGTGTGTGTGTGTACTAAGAGCAACAGTCAAGGAAACTTTTAGGGAAAGGAGAAAGAAATACGTTTTGAATTTTGCCAGCAGGCTGTCCTGAGCGTGCTGGCCACAGGACTACTTTAGAATATGTTTCTGATGGTCTGTGAGTGTCCGGACCCCCTCGAGCCTGATCCTGAGGGGCTGATGACTTCTGGTTCCTTAGGCGGAGGACAATGTTAGGCCTCAGAGATACAGAAACAGACTTGTCCCAGAGGTGCAGGCTCTGTCTGCTGAAAGCTTGGCTTTCCCTTGTGCCCTGACAGACTGCGGCTTTGGAAGTGGAATGAGTTTAACTTAACTGAGAGAGGAAAATTTGCATGAAGAAGAGCTGGGAGAGAGTGAAAGGGGAGTACTTTGACTTTCTGCCATGTCATCCAGGAAAGAGAAAGAGGAGTGAGAGAGAGAGACTGTGTGTGTGTGCGAGAGCGTGTGAGTGTGTGTGAACGTTCGGGGGAGGGGGATGATTGATGGCTTGTTGATCACTGTGGGCCAGCCGTGAAGTCCTGCCTGTGATAACCTTACCAAACCTTGAACCTGGGCTTGAGTGAATCACAGAGACATTTTTCTTATGACCGCCTAGTCACTGGCTCTGCCTGAGAGTCATACTGAGCACACTTTGGTGAACCGGAGAATGAGTTAGGGAGCCAGGGAGGGAGGTGGGACCCCACACGACACCCGCCACCACTCCGGCTCTGTTACACTCACGTCTCCCAGGCTCATAGCAGTACGTAGGACTTTGGGTTTTTTTCTTTTTTTATATGACTAGAACATGAAAAGTCTTGTATTTAGGAATTTTCCCTGTGTCCTGATGCCAGAATTGGTTTCCGGGGTCCTTAAGTGAAAAATTTCTTTCCTCTCATGGCTACTGTCATTTTTCACATAAAATGGAAACCTTTCCTCCAGCACAGCGACATCTCTAAAGATTGTGTCTTTCTTATAAGAGCACAAAGTGTATGGACCTCGGGGAGCTATGCTTCCAGAGCATTGCTGGAATTTATATTTTAGAAATCTACCTTGCATAGTAAAATTCACAAGTTGGGAAACTGATATGAACAAATCTGATTTCCCACAGTTCAAGAGGCACATAGGAATAGACAGGACTTAATCTGGGGTGGGAGGAGATAAGAAAGGGAGAATGGGAGAGTTAGGGTCTAATTCTTTAAAAAAAAAAAAAGAAAAAAGAAGCCAGAAGACAGGTATTATGTACGCTACAGGAAAACTGTTTTCACGGCTATCCCACTAGGAGCTGGCTTTCCTCAAAGGGGCTGCCTGCACGTTGAGAGGCAAGGCCTGTGTTGGAGATGGATTTGTGGCTCTACAAATGCCCCACAGCCAAGGACACAGCAGGTGTCCCGCAAATCTGGTGTGGTTTTCCTCAGTAAACCAGCTGTCAGCCAGAGAAGCCTGTCTTTCCCAAGTGCGACCACATCTGCGGGCTCCGATCACCTGGCAGGCAGCAGGTGAACCAGACTTGATCTTGCTCTCAGTGTGGTTGAGGCCATGAGTCAGGAATGCCCTCGGGGGCTGGGGGGGCAGAGCCCGCCTACTCCACTTGCTTCAGGGTTGTAGAAAGAGCACAGTTAAAACTCAAGTGGATCACAGATCCCTCTTCCGTATAGCGACTGTCAACCCCAAAGAGGGGCACTGCCTACTACTTAGTCTTTACCTACTACTTAGATTACCAGAGAAGCCTAACATTTTTATTTATTTTTTTTGAATGAAACACGAATGCTCTTCCACAAAGACCCAATTAGTTATCTTGGTTTTGTGACACCAGGTATGACCTGAAAGGCTGCAGTCTTTTAGATGTTATTTAGAATATCTACAGCTTGCCGGGATGCCCGTAGCCTCTGGTGTCCATGGCAACGTGGGGTCCGTGGTAAATATCTATAGCTCCCGTCCCCCTGGGTAAATCATTAAATAAGATGGTGTCGTTGATATTTTTATTTAAATTTGTATTACAAAAATAGAGGACCCATGAGCATCACATGTTAGAAACCTCATTTACGGCACTGTGTGGCTGAATAGACCCAAGCCGTTGAAAGCATGCGCCAAGCCGCATCAAAATAAACACTTCATTTACTAAGAACTGTATTCAAGTGATTCAGGCCCACCGAGAAAGCAGATAGTCTGTTCTTTGCACAACTGCCTTTCCCTGGTTCTTTCTTTTGTTTTTGTTTCTTAAGAGTCATTTTTTACATTTTTTACTCTGAGTACCTTCTGATAGCCAGGTGGATAAAGACGCGGCAGTCCTGCGTACACACGTCACCTTTCTAGAGGAGAAAGCAAATTGTCAGTTCTTGGGAAAATCGGAAACGATCTGTGAGCCAGTGTTTGTTTGTGTATGAGAGCAGAGTTGAGCCATCCATGTGAGAAGCAAAATCAAGGAACGGTTTTGGGGTTCTTTTTCCTTAGGCAAAAATGTTTCATGCAGGGTGTGGATGTTTTCTTTGCCTTTATATTTCCTTTCCAAGAAATCTCTTGTAAATGACAAAACTGTGAAATGGGTTGCCAAAAAAATTGTTGCCCTTTGTTTTAGATGCCTCAAACAGTGTAAATCCTAAACTGAACCCTGTCCACATCTGCTCCGTCCTCCCTCCCCAGAGAGTGAGGATCTCATCCACCGATGTAATTACCATACGCTTGCTATTAAAGAGCCTTCCAAACTCTGGTGATGTTTGCGTCTTTTTTACTCCATCCACAGTGTTTGGTCCGGAGGACATCTCATGGGATACAAATGGGGGACAGAGAATGAGGACCGCCAGCTAGTTCTGCGGTTGTCTGTGTTGGGGCTGGGGGTGGGGGCGGCCGGGGGGAGAGAGGGAGGAGGTTGTTTCGGGAACCACTGACATGGTTCAAATGTTAGTAATTTAAGACATTCGTGTATCTGTTGTGATGTGGCTGGTAGTGAGTGATTTCCCAGCCTTCCTTCAAACCAGTACTTGAGGTGTGTATATGAGGAGCCTGTTCTTTCTCCCATAGTGAGGTGCCATGTGCATTCTGTGGCACCAGTTAGAAAGCTGTGGCCACTCTGTGACAATGTGACACAGTTTCCCCATAACTGTCCTCCCAGTGATTGTTGTACAGTAAACAGTGGTATCTAAAGAATAAATCAGGGCGCCTGGGTGGCTCAGTTGGTTGGGCGACTGCCTTCGGCTCGGGTCATGATCCTGGAGTCCCGGGGTCGAGTCCCTCATCGGGCTCCCTGCTCAGCGGGGAGTCTGCTTCTCCCTCTGACCCTCTTCCCTCTCGTGCT